ATAGATCATTGCAACTGATTTTATTATCTCTCACCACACCAAACGGTAATCATATTTTGTAAGAAGTTTGTGAGATCATTACATTTATTTTAAAATTAATTCAAATATAATACTGTTTTTAAAATATATTTAATAATTTTCAATATAAATTACTAGTATAATTTTAGGGTATTTACATATTCTATTCATTTTTCTATTAAAATAATTTATAATTTTTCCGCATTTTATTTTAAATTGAGCTCAATAGCTCTTAAAATTATGCTGAAATTAATATTATTTTTATATATGATATATTAAACGTCCTAAACGAACGCAAATTCAGGCTGCTAAATGCGTCTGATGCAGTTTTTTGTTCAAAATTTTATTCCATCTTTGGAGTGCCGTAACAAATTCGTTTCGATCCATTTCTCCTCATCTTTATAGGCATTCTCTCCTCACGGCAACGGAATCCATCACCTCTTTTTGATCTCTCTGTCTCTCCGCTCCGAACTCCGGCAATCCCCTCACCAAAAGATGTGTTGTCCGGGTAAGACTTGCTGCTGCTGTTTGCTTTTGATTCTTTTGGTGATCGCCATTGGATTCATCTTTGGTTTCGGTATTTTTGCTCATGGATTTGAGAAGATTAAGGAAAGTTTGCACTACGACGTGCATCGATATGGGGATTTGGGAGGAAGACCCTTCTACTACGCACCCGCACCGTTCTAGGGTTCTTATCTTCCAGTAATTTTGAGATCTTGTTTCTAAATCTGTAATTGCTATTCTTGGTTTGGGAATATAGGGTTTTGGTTTTCCCAGAAACAGCTATTGGATCTGATGGCATTATTCGTTTAATTTTAGTGTTTTTCTTCTTTGCGAATTTTTACTTTTCGCTCTTTTCTGATTGTCGAAATTCTTTCTCCAGATCTGCTAATCGTGGATTTCGGTTGGTTTCTAAAATAAATAAATATATATCATTGAAAAAAAAAATTTATGTTTCTGTTTCGAAAAATTGGAAAAAATATGTATTATTTTAAATTTAAAGTCGATTGTTTAGGTACTGAGTGTGATGCACCTGATTCATCAATTAGGTGATAGAGGTTGAACAATTTAAACCTGAAAAATATATTTTTTAGACAACCAAGTCTAGTCATAGAAAAAAAAAAAAAAAAAAAAACATAAAAAAAAAAAAAAAAAAAAAAAAATCTAGTCATATGAAGTGGATTAATTGATACTTAAATACAAGCAAATAATATTTAGATATACTTTAGCCATTTAATTAAATTCCTAAAGTTTTCAAACTTGTTTAAAGTACTTGATTTTAAATTTATTTGTAATCATATTGAATCACCTTTGATGTTATGGAGTTTTTCTTGCCTGGCTGTTCAATTTGGCTATAAGTTGTTTTAAATTTTTGTTCGGATGATCCTGAATTTTTTTTTAGAGATTTCCAACATGAGTAATGCATAAAGATTTGTGATTAGGTGATTTTTTTTTTGAAGATGAATTACTTGGCCACTTATTTTTGAAACTTGAATTTTGTGTAATCCAATATGCAATCTTAGAAAAAAATCATGACATAAAATTATAATTTTAGTAAAGGTATTAGGCGCAATTATTTCATGACAATTGATATGTCACCAAAAAATTATCGTGATTAGGATTTAAAAAATTTCAAAAATAATTTCGAGATCATCTAAACACCAATTTCAGCAAAGTTACTGTCAAACTGAATGTCTCAAATAGACAAACCCAACAACATAAAATTCAACCGAATCAGAGCGCAATGGGCCCAAATCAACGGACCAAGGTCTTCTTAAACACTTCAAAGCATTAATTGGATAATTAAATGATATCCGAATGTGACATGCTTATAGTCCAATCAAGCGGCTTGACGAGGTGAATCTAATGAACTAATGATCACTCAATTCTAACATCTCTAAGGCACTTAAATGCTTGTAAATGCTCCATGATCAAGAGGTTTACTATGAGCTGTCCGATGTAACACTAACAACCTTAAACTTCTCCATATTTACTAGCCATGACACTCCAAAAAAATTATAAATAAATAGCCTCTCATTCTTCACTTCAAGAAGGGGTGGAAGAGGAGAGAAAGCTTGAGAGCTCTCTTGTACTCTTCATCTAATAATGTAATAGCTAAAGGTCTTCCCAACCACTGATCGCTATCAGACTTCCGCTCGTTCTTCGACTATCATTGGAAACCTTCCTAAATGCTATTGGTGTCAGATCTCCTCTCAAACATTGTCATCTAGTGATGAGGGTCCTAATCACCATCAACTAATGGCGGTCCTTCCAACCTCCGTCACCCGCCGACTAAGGTGACTACAATCCCTCAAGCCATCGTTGCCCGACTATAGTTCTTTCGACCATCATCACACAATTAAGTTCTTTCTAACCACCGTCATCCTACTACCATCCTTCGGACCATCGTTGCCCCCAAAATACGATCATTTCGACAACTACTACCCTACTATGTTCCTTCTGACCTTTGTCATCCGCCGACTATGTTGCCCTTCGACCTCTATCGCTTGCCAACTATGATCCCTCCGATCTCCATATTTTACCAACTACGGTCCATTTGACCATCATCGCCCACCGATTATAGTCCCTCCAACCTTCTTCGCCCACCAACTACTGTATTTCAAACTATGGTCACTTGATTATAGTCTTTCCAAGTATCATCATCTAACTACGATCACTTTTGCCTATCATTATCTAACTAGATTCTACCAACCAAAAGAGTGGGAAAACATTATCTTGAGAACATTTATCATGCTATATATTTAAAATATAATATGCTCTCTACAATATAAATTTATTTTGTTGAGACAATACCCTTCTCCTCCAAGGGGCATTATTTGTAACTAACCACCAACACTATGGATTCATTTCAACTGGGCAATCCCATGGTTTTCCCCCCTTTCAGGGGTTTCCATGTAAAAATACTTGGAATTTCTTATTAATTATGCACCATTCTCTTTTATCTATTCGTATGCTACTTTTTCTTACAATGTCAAAATGCTAAACTTTACATATCTCTACCACTATAAATATTCTAGGATGTAAGAAATATCAACAAGGATGCATCGTGATTAAAGTTTTTCCTGAAGTTGGCACATTAATAGAAACATAATATAGTAAAAAAAATATTTCAAATTTTCTAAATTTGCTCAATTTTTTTTCATAAAGGCACTATTGAACTTTTAAATCATCAAAATTGACTAGGCTTTTTCAGGTATGGAACTTGGTCAGGACTAAACCAAGCTGGCTCTTTGCTAGTCGTGGCACCTTGCACGACATAAGAACCTAGTTGGGTATACATTGTTCTTTTTTATTTTTTAAATAAGAAGATTAAGAATTTTTTTTTTAAAATTAAATGAAGCTATTAAATTCTTAAAAAGCTGCAAAGAAAATTTTATAAAATATTTAAAATATAAGAAATTTATGAAAAATATTAGAACTCATCTTCCCCACTTTTTGTATAAATATCCTTACAAACAATGAGTCAATTTAACCTAAAGCCAACTTAAGCATAGAAGGTTTGTTGTTTAGCAAGAATTGTTGCGTAAAACTAGCGAAAATAACCAGATTAAATATAATTAAAATACAAAATGATTTACTTGGTTTGTTGAAGCCTATGTCCATGGGGAGGGAATGATTTCACTATATTGAAAAATATAGGGTTAAATTTGACTCTCTTTTCCATTCATACATCATCCCTCAAACCATTTTTATAGATTGAAAACTAAAAAAAATAAGGAGATCAAATTAATAATTGGATCACCTAATTAATGCTTTTCTAATTAAAGCATTAATTAAATGCCCTAATTTATGCAATAATCATCCCATAAAATCCTTCCTAATCGATACTAAATTTATAAAGGAAAGATTTTCATAATATTCTCCACCTCAACTTTTACTTCATAAAGTGAAAGATGACAAAACATAATCCAATATGAAATTGACTGCACCAAGATGGTTTCTTATGTACCTTACCTCCCTAGGGATCAAGCTAATTGTAGTACTTCAAAATTAGTGGACAATTAGTCACGAGCTCGAATGTTCACTGAACTCCTATAATAGGGGAACTTCTGAGCTCATAGTGCCTTTATGAGCATGTCTGCTAAATCCTCCTTGATATATATCTTCTTCAACTAGACATTACCTTTATCAATTTAGTCTAAAAAATAGAACCTTACATAAATGCGCTTGGTACGAGCATGATGAACTTGATATGTGGCCAATAATATCACACTCTAGTGTCATTGAATGCCGTTAGGGACTTCTGCTCAACACCTAAATTATCTAGTAGGCCTTGCATCCATGTTGCTTCCTTCATTACTTGACTAACATATATTCAGCCTCAAAAATAGACAAAGCAACAATAGATTGAAGAACTAATCTCCAACTAACTGAACCTCCTTCTAATGTAAATAAATAATAAATTATAGACCTATGCCTATCAATATCATCGACATAATCTGAGTTAAGTGTAGCCTTCACACAAATTAGGAACATATGACTACCTCTCAAATGCCAAGCCTACATTAAATGTATCCTTCATATTCCTCAGGATACTTTTTATAACTTGCTAATGACATCTTCTCAGATCATGCATATTACTCACAACACCAACTACCTGTGCAATATGTGATATAGTACAAACCATGATATACATTAGGTTACCAACTACACTAATATAAGGAATTGATTACATATCTTTCCTCTCTTGATCATCTTTAGGACGTCAACTAGAAATGAGATGCAATAGGTATACTCACAGCCTTACTCGAGACATCATAGCTAAAATTTTTAACACCTTCTGAATATAAGCTCCTTGTGGAGCCAAACTTTCCCAGTTGCCTTATCCTTAAGAATCACCATGCCAAAATTTTTTAGAACTTCACCCAACTCCTTCATCTCAAAATATTTTGACAGTTTCTTCTTCATTCTATTAAACTCATACTTACTAGCAGATGCAATCAACATGGCCTCAACATATATAAGAAGGTAGATGAACTCATCATTAACCAATTTATTAAAATATGCTTACTGATCATAGCAACACCTTATGTACTACTCTCCCATCATGAATTGGTTAAACTTCTTATTCCATTGTTATGGTGACTGATTCAAGCCATATAAAGGTTTTTCTAATTTACAAAGTAAGTCTTTTGTGGATCTATATCCAGACAGTTGTAACGTATAGACCTCTTCTTATAATTCCCATGTCATAATGCATTTTTTGCACCGCGTTGCTCCATAATTAGACTATAGTGTGCTACAAGTGCTATAAGAACACGGATCAAGGGATGTTTAACCACTGGGGATAACACCTTATTATACTCAATCCCTTCCTACTATGTAAATTCTTTTTCCACCAACCTAGCATTGAACTGTATATCATCTCCATGAGATCCTTCCTTATTAATATACACCCATTTGTACCCAATGGGCCTCCAAGTAACATTCTTCTAAAGAGACTCCATCCTTTCATCTATAGCCTTTTTTCCAAAGATCACCATTAAAACTATCTACTACTTCCTTATAGTGACTAGGAATCTTAGCCCCTGTGATTGAAAGTGCAAATGCAATGTGGTCCCTCAACCAAGCTAATTTTGAGGTCACAATAAAACTCTCCATTTGCTTTGCGTCCTCAAGATTCAACATATTTGCATCATCAAATGTAATACCCCTGCTAATGATAATCTTCTTCTCTCCCCAATCATAGAGTTTGAAGCCCTTAACTCCATGCCTAAATTCAATAAAGATTGTCTGCCTTGCTTGTGGTTCAAGTTTATCAATCTAAATATGATAGTAAATTGGGCACTTGA